TTTGGTTTTATTTCTTTTTATTCTTTAAATTTCACATGTCACTGCTGGCCGTCCGCCGCACCATGACGTTGGGAAGCTCATTCGCCAGCTCACGTCGCATCTGAGATTTCGTTGTCTCGCTGCTCCTTTCCCAACGGACCGGGAAATTCGGTGCTGGGGGAACCAGGAACATAGAGTTGCGTGACACGAGAGCAGCCATTGCCGAGTCTCACTCCATCTTCTGTTCTTCAGCTTTCCCCTCCTTCTCTGGTCTGTCTGTTCGTTCTTCTCAACGTCCTTGCGTCGATCCGCCCTTGGTACGCCAAGGTCCATCTAAACAAAAAATCAAAAAAACACCACGACCGTTGCGATCCGGAGCCTCATGTCGCGGTGACCAACCCGCCTCTACCTTACCTTACCTTACGCTCCACCCCTCCCCATCAGCTTGGACTTATACGACCATTTCATCCCACCGTCACACCTCCCACCACATCTCCCACAATGGAGAAGTTCAGCCAGTTCCGCGACAAAGGTAAAGACAACCCGCTGGTCACGATACCTTCACTGTTCTACAGACTAACATCCAACAGGATCGGGCATCTCGCCCTTCATCCCCGTCAAAACAGCCCTCTCCCCCCTCTCCTCAATCTTCCACACCTTCCTCTTCTTCATCCGCCTCCCCCTCTTCCTAACCTACGCAGCAACCTACTTCCTCTTCCTCCAGCACCTATGCCCCTTCCTCCCCGTCGCCGTCCGCAAAGTCCTCCTCTGGGGCATGATGGGCATCCCCGGCATCTGGTGGGTCGACCTCCAGCTCGACGGCGTCCGCCGCGGCACCCTCGCCGACCAACCCCCGCAGCGCTTCCCCCATCCGGGCTCCGTCATCGCCGCAAACTTCACATCCCCCATCGACGCCGTCTACCTCGCCGCAATCTTCGACCCCATCTTTACAATCTCCTACCCAAACACCAGATCGGTAGAACAAATCTCCCTCCTCCGCGCCGTCTTCTACGCCCTCTCCCCCGTCCGCTTCGCACCACCGCCAGCAACCCGAAAGCTCACCGACCTCGCCGCCCTCGTCGCCCGCTACCCGGACCGCGTCGTCGCCGTCTTCCCCGAAGGAGGCACCACCAACGGAAAAGGCGTCCTCCCCTTCACGCCCTCCCTCCTCGCCGTCAGCCCGGAAGTCCACATCTTCCCCGTCAGCATCCGCTACACCCCCGCCGACGCGACGACCCCGATCCCCGGCCGCTGGGCCAAGTTCCTCTGGGACCTGCTCTCCCGCCCGACGACCTGCATCCGCGTCCGCGTCGCCGAGAGCATCCTCAACTCCTCCGCCGCCCAGACCAACGGCGTCTCGTCCTCCGCTGCTTCTGGGGAGAACACCGCGCAACGCAGAATCGGGGCCGGAGGCGGCGATGCGCCGGCGCTCTCGATCGAGGAACAACGCGTGCTGGATAAGGTCGGGGAGGCGCTGGCCAGGCTGTGTCGGAATAAGCGCGTCGGGCTGACGTTACGGGATAAGGCTGCCTTTATCGAGGCGTGGAACGGGCGCAAGTGAGCAAGCGACCCCGAAGCCTCCGACTAGTACCCGAGTAAAGCGCAGAAGGGGAATCGAACGGTAGTTTGGCAAGCTGGCGGCCGTCGTGCACTTTACGTTGTTACGTTTTGCCCCGCGAGGTATATGTGTTATTGCATAGCTAGGAGCTTCGGAGGCGCTTGTCGTGCCAATGCTTTCCAGGAATCGTTTGGAGAGGCAAGAAGCAAGGGAAGAACCGAAAAAAAGAAGCAGCATGGGCGAGCTTCCGCTAAGGGAAGCCGTCGTGTAAAAGTGTAAACGTAATCCAGGTGTGGACGTTTTGTAGTGTTTTTTACGTATACCACGAGTATTGACATTCGCGTTGAACAATCTTCTGCCTTCTTTTTATATCAACACTCCTGGCCAACTATACAGCAGCGAACCACCTCTTCTTCATGCAATTTGGTAAACCATGTAAACAAAACTCCGATTTTGGGGGACTACCTTTTCCGAAGCCGTACAAGAAGATGGTATAACAGTGTAGAAGAAACCTCTAGCAGAAAAAAATGAGGAAACAAACCCCGCCGCTCCCTTTTTGAATTCCGCCAAAAAGAAAATTGACCAAAAATAAGGAGAATCCTTCCTCCTCCTTCTCTCCCACTCCTTTTTCATGCCGCTCTCTATCCCACAGACAGAGAAGCTCAGATCTTGCCGTCCGTGACACATCCAGAGCTAGCATCGCTCACAAGAGCAGAATACTTCTTCAGCGTACCCTTGGTATACTTGGGCGGCGGCGCCGTCCACTTGGCCCTCCGCTCCGCCATCACCTCATCCGACACATCCGTATCAATCACCCTCTTCTCCGCGTCAATCGTGATCTCGTCCCCGTCCTGCACCAACCCAATCGGCCCGCCCTCCATCGCCTCAGGCACGATATGCCCAATCAGGAACCCGTGCGAGCCGCCAGAGAACCGTCCGTCCGTCAGCAGCGCCACGTCCTTGCCCAGCCCGGCGCCCATGATGGCGGAGCTGGGCTTCAGCATCTCGGGCATGCCGGGGCCGCCCTTGGGCCCTTCGTAGCGGATGATGACGACCGTCTTCTCGCCCTGCTTGATCTCGCCGCGCTCCAGGGCGGCGATGAAGCCGTCCTCCTCGTCGAAGACGCGCGCCTTGCCCGTGAAGACGAGGCCCTCCTTGCCGGTGATCTTGCCCACGGAGCCGCCGGGCGCGAGCTGGCCGCGCAGGATCTGGATGTGGCCCGTCGGCTTGATGGGGTTGCTGAAGGGGCGGATGATGGGCTGGTCCTCGGGGAAGTCGGGCGTGCTGGCGACGTTCTCCTTCATCGTCTTGCCCGTGACGGTGATGCCGGAGCCGTCGATGAGGCCTTCCTTGAGGAGGAACTTGAGCAGGCCGGGGGTGCCGCCGATGCGGTGCATGTCGGCCATGACGTACTTTCCAGAAGGCTTCAGGTCAGCCAGGAAGGGCGTGCGGTCCGAGACGGCCTGGAAGTCGTCGACGGTGAGCTTGATGCCGACGGAGTCGGCGATGGCGAGCAGGTGGAGGACGGCGTTGGTGCTGCCTCCGAGGATGTTGACGACGACCATGGCGTTCTCAAAGGCCTGGCGGGTCATGATATCGCGCGGGCGAATGTCCTCCTTGAGGAGGTTCTTGATAGCAGAGCCAATGTTCTCGCACTCGGCCTTCTTGGCGGGATCCTCGGCGGGGCTGCTGGAGCTGTGCGGCATCGTCAGGCCGAGCGTCTCGATGGCGGTGGCCATTGTGTTCGCGGTGTACATGCCACCGCAGGCGCCGGAGCCGGGGCAGGCGTTGCGGATGATGTCGAAGCGCTCCTCCTCCGTGATCTCGCCGGTGATGTACTGGCCGTAGGCCTGGAAAGCGGAAACGATATCAATGGACTCGCCGCTCTTGCTGCAGCCGGGCTTGATGGTGCCGCCGTAGACCATGATGCTGGGGCGGTTGACGCGGCCCATGGCGATGGCGACGCCGGGCATGTTCTTGTCGCAGCCGGGCAGGGAGATGTTTCCGTCGTACCACTGGCCGTTCATGACGGTCTCGATGGAGTCGGCGATGATCTCGCGGGACTGGAGGGAGTAGCGCATGCCCTTTGTGCCCATGGAGATGCCGTCCGAGACACCAATGGTGTTGAACTGGTAGGGGATGAGGCCGGCGTCCTTGACGGACTTGCGGACGAGGTTGGAGAGGTCGAGCAGGTGCATGTTGCAGGGGTTGCCCTCGTACCAGACGGACGAGATGCCGACCTGGGCCTTGTTCATGTCGTCCTCGGACAGGCCGGTGGCGTACAGCATGGCCTGGGAGGCGCCCTGGGATTTGGGCTGGGTGATGTTGGCCGAGACCTTGTTCAGCTTCTCGTCGGCGCGTCGGGGCGCGGTGGAGGAGAGGAGACGTCTGTAGAGATACTGAAGTTAGCTATTTGCCATTCATGGTCCATTGGGGGTTTCTTACGCATGGCTGGCAAAGGTAGGACGCCTTGTCGCAGCTCTAAGAGCTTGTGACTGGCGGGCGATGGACCTGGAGAGCATTTCGTCGAGGGTATCACCGGGCAAGCCCCAGGAGACGACGCAGCGGAAGGGGGTGAAGGGAAGGGAAAGGAAAGATGAGGCGTGTGTAAGAGAGTGTTGTTCAATTGAGTTCCCAATTGATCTCCTTTTTCGAATCTGTTTCCTCGATTCTTTTCCTCTTTTATATTGATGCCAGGTGAGTCACGAAGAAGAGGAAGAAAGAGGTGCGGTGGAAGAAAGACCCGAGATCACAGGGACAGTCACAGGGACACGGCGAGCAAAGAGACGTTGATGGTTTTTTTGGAGCAGCCGCTAGCAGCCAGAACCAGAGCCAAAACCACAGGGGGGGGGGAACAATTTGGGGCGATGTCGGCTCCTAAAATTTCTGGAGCTCCCCGCCGAGTGCTCCCCGCATTGAAATACCTCGTCGCTAATTGGCCGCAGCTGTGGTTCCGACGCTCCGTTCCCCCCCAGATTTGGTGCCATTTGGCTGCGTTCTGCTGCACAGCTCGAGGTGAGCCACCGGCGTCGGGTGCAAGGTCAGCAAGGTCAGCCACGGTGTGCGATTGTAACCACACCACCAACAGAGGTCGAATACAACACAAATTCAAGCATTTCATCGTCAATTGAACTTCCCTAGAGTCTATATTCTGTGCTAATGAAGATATTCCAAGCTCTGAGAAGCATCAAGGTGTAATGGCATCGATCCCAGCTTTACCTCATCCGATTACCTCATGATTATTTCCGATAAGCCCGGAATGCTTCCGGTCCCGGACGAGACCCGCTTTTCTACACCGATCCCGCCGAAAGTGGGTCGCGGCTACCCGGCAACGCGCGTGCTGCCTCCATATTCCTCTCCTACAATCGCAGCTCAGCTCCATTACACCCAGGTAGCTTCACTACGGATAGAAATGGTGTTACAAATCAGCTCTGGATATCAGTCGGCCACAATCCTTACGGACTTAGGGCTTCGTCTTGTGCTCCTCCGTCGAATCCTTCTCCTTGAGATCCTTCTCCTCCCTCCGTGTCAGAATCTCGTCAATAACACCCATGCTCTTGGCCTCCTCCGCCGACAGGTAGTTATCGCGCTCCATCAGGTCGTGAATCTCCTCCAGGCTGTACTTGTCGTGCCCAAACGACTTGTTAATGTGCCGCTTCATGATCTCGTTAATCTGCTTGCGGATGCGCTGGATCTGGTTCGCGTAGATGAGAATGTCCGACGCCTGGCCCTGCGTCCCGCCCAGCGGCTGGTGGATCATGACGGAGCTGTGCGGCAGGGCGTATCTCTTGCCCGCCTCGCCTCCCGTCAGCAGCAGCGCTGCCATGGAGGAGGCCGCGCCGAGGCAGACTGTTGATACTGGTGATTTGATGTATGTCATTGTGTCGTAGATGGCCAGCCCTTTTATCTCTTCGTCAGCATTGTCTTCTTTCCCTTGTATCTCTGACTGCGCATCGGGGTGTCTGTCGAACCTGATGATACTGAGCCTCCTGGAGAGTTGATGTACATGGTAATCGCCTTGTCGGGGCTATCGGACTCGAGCCACAGGAGCTGTGCTACTATCGATGCGGAAACGGTATCGTCGATCGCGCCATTGAGGCAGACAATGCGTTCCTATGCATGTGTCAGCTTGATGCGCGCGACATCTCGAAGGGTCTATAGAATCGTACCTGAAGCAGCTTGGAAAAGATGTCGTCTACCTGCGTGGTCAGCGAGGGGGGGATACCCGATTACAGAAGCAGTCGCGGTGTACTAACATGTCCTCCAACCATTCGACTAATCAATTAGCTTTCGCGACCAAAGTATCTTCCAATAGCCATGGGTAGACGAACCGAAACCTCGGTGATGTAAGGCAGAGGGATGTTTCCAACAGGTGGGCTGCTGCTACCGCCTCCTACGACGGGAGGGAAGCCCGGCAATGGGAAGTTTGAAAAGGCCCTGACGTGCTGCCGCCGCGGGACAGCCCTCAGGGCTCGGAATAATGTTCTTTGACAGTTCATGGCGGAGAGTGCGAAAGCAATGGCGCATGTGTGGTGTTGCAGTGTCAAAGAGGAACCAAGTAGAAAGAATGCGAAAAAGCGGCAATCGACGGCAACAAGCACTGGCGGGAGAGGTGTGACGTCCGCTGGGAAAGCTGGTTGGCCCCTGTGCGCGCCCCCGAGCTCCGAGCTTCCCCCACGCGTCCCTCGTCTAAAAATTGCCCCGAGGCGCGTAAAGCTCTTTTTTTCGTCTGTGCCGTACTCCTGAGCTGGGCCGCCACTCCGGGGATCCCTTCCGAATCTTTAAGTCTCTGGGCGATTTGCCAACGTCCGATCTGTTGCACACCCATTGCAGCCGGCAGTCCCTCTCCTATCTGGCCAAGCGGGACCAAACGACCACACTGGCGACATTTTGCGACAATCGCTCCCTCCTTCGGGGGTCTCCCCCTCGACCGCGATGAAGCCATTCCCAGGCATTCGACGAGTGCCCCGAACTTCTCACAGAAGCTATGGCACAACCCCCCCGGCCAGACCGGGGCCTGTTTTTCTGTCCAAGAAGTACATAAGAGAAAGAGAAGCCAAGGCAGCGGGTAGGGCGCCGCCAATACCGCCAATATCGAAGAAAGAAGCAAAAGCACAAGCGATACGAGATGCGCCGAAGCGCATGGCAGAGGAAAGACAGGCGCACTTCACCAAGAGAATCCAAGAGGTCCTAGGCCACGACGGAATCGCAAAAGATGTACGTATCGACAAGAAGAACAAGAAGGTCAAGACGTCCGCGGGCGACCTGCCCATCTCGCCCGTCATGGACCCCGTGTGGATGGATGTACGCACGAGGTACCGGACACCCAAGCCCAGACCGAAATCCAAGAGCGACAAGGTCCGGGATTATTCTTTGTCTTCGTCTAGGGCGGCACCGAGGAAACACAAGTATAAGATTAGGATGGGCAAAGACAAGAAGACGCGGAGCCCAAGGCTCATTGTCATGAACAAGTTGCCCAACGGGGGCAGGTTCCGCGTCAAGTTGGAACAGAACCCGTACGGTCAGTAGCGGGAATCCCCCTCCTATTTGTATGAGGACTCCGAGGAAGCGGAATGCTGATGTTACGGACCTCTTGCAGTACATGCTCTCGCCTCGCCTGTCCGATTCTGCCCCGTTACGGGGACGTCTCTGCCGAAATACTTTCTTCAAAACTTCAAGGCTGTTACGAATCCGGACACCCAGGGGCACTGGTTTATACCAGGCGACGTTGAAGTATCGTGGACACATAGAGACGCCATGGAAGAGGAGCTTAGACAGCTTGATGATCTGGAGAATCGGCCAGAAAAGCTTGCCGATGTGGGAAATGGTGCTATTAAACAGGGGAAGGACGATTCGAAAGAGTTCAATGAAGTGAATGGCGAACCGAGGAAAGCTTTCAAAGGGGAGGACGAATCCAAAAAGCAGAGCGAAAAAGAGCCCCAAACCCTTAACACTGCAGTAGACGACTTTGAGCAGCATTTCACAAACGTAATCGGATCCGAGAAGAACGCCAAAAAGGAAAAGAGCCGCTCTGGAGCCGTATCCCTTCCTCCCACCCCCCAGAAACAATCCCCCGAGGACCCCATTGCAAAACAAAAAGAAACAGACCAGCTCCTCCTCAAATCCCCCTCCGCCTACGTCGTCTCCCGCAAACCCGTCATCGACTCCATGGCAGGCAAACGCGGCAAACTTCCCTTCGGCGACGGCTGGCGCACCCTCCTCGGCAGGAACCCAAAGGTCATGAACTCGGATATCCCCAAACGCCTCGTCTGGCGCCAGGACATGGGCGACTTTGTTCTAGAGAACCTGCGCAAGAATATCATGAAGTACGTCACTTGGCACGTCGAGGCGGGCGAAGGGCGTAGCTCGTGCATCCAGCCCCTCGAGACGTGGGAAGATGTCCACGACGCGCAGAAGCGGAGCTGTTTGCTGTGGTATGACGAGGCCAATATCCCCGCGAGGGAGAGTCGGTGGGATGAGTGGATGAAGGAGGGGAAGGTAAAGCCGTTTGCGACCTACGACGTCCCGGACGCAAAGTACGAAAAGAGTCTGCCCATCTACGACATCGGGCGGCTCATGGGGCCAAAGTACCTCGCGAAGCTGCGGGAGATACCCGTGTTCCGCGAGCGCTCGCTCTTCGTCGTCAAGAAGAAGCGGTCGATTCCGCTGCAGCTGTACCTATGGAAGCTGCAGGCGTACATGGCCGAGTATCCATCCGCGGAAAAGGTCGCCGAGGTATCTGCGGAGAAGAGGAGGCTCGATAGGAAGAGGAGGGAGGAGGAGCGCCAGGAGGAGCTTGTACAGGAGCAATTCAGGCTGGAGGAGGAGGCGAGGGAGGGGTATATACGGGCCAAGGCTGAGCGGGCGAGAATAATCCAGGAGAGAATCCAGCGGGAGATGCAAGGCTTCGATGAACCCAGGGATAAGACGGCAGAGGTCGGGGCAGAACGCGGAGTCGGGTTTGGGAGCAGCAGTACAACCATGCCAAGGTCTATAGCGGCGGCCACGAGCTCGGCCGACTTCACTGCTCAGCTCACGGCGATACCACGAGCCGTGTCCTCACCCAGTGCTTGGAACAGCGCCGCCATCAAGCCCATACCTACGATCAAAGTCGACAGGAAGGCTGAAGCCCCTAAATGGCCCACAATCAAAGCCAAAGTGAAAGCCACACCTAGGCGCTCAACCAAAGATGTAGCCACGCCCATGACTGCAGCCGACTTCACTGCCCAGCTCATGGCGACACCCAAGGTCGGTTCTGGATCTGGCTCTCGGGGCAATTCTGCCGTCAAGTCGGTAGCCCCCGCCAAGATCGTTAACAAGGTCGGTTTGACTTCACCTTTGGCCGAAGTTGAAGGCGGATCTAAGCCTCAGCGTGTCGCTACGACAGCCGAGACTACACCCAAGGCCGATGTCAAAGGAGCATCGGAACCCAAAGCAGAAGTCAAGAAGCCAAAGGTGAGATCAGTCAAGCCGCGCTGGTAGACTTGCACGGAGCAATTCTCTTTCCCATCCGGGCAATTAGGAACCTTGGGTAAGACGGAAGGAGCGGATGGTCATATCAGAATCTATGTACACTGCAGGAGCGAAGGGAAGGGGTACATCCTTCCTATGTTAGAAGGCGTGATGAAAGTTGAGGACCTGAAGATGGAGCCATATACCCAAGAAGGGAGACGCTTTGGTAACGTCTCGAAGGATAAGAAATACCCCAATCAGCATTATAATCAAACATATTCGTCAGTCAGGTGATGACACACTTATATTGACAGTCCTTTGAGCCGTTTCAACGAAACGAGTGACCTTGAGGGTATTCAGAGGTCAAATTGGCCTGACATAGGAGCAATCCTCATTGCCGCTGACTTCAACCACTCATGAGGTTGTAGTCTCAGATTTCTGCTTGTGCTACATGATTTTTCCCTCCTGCAGGATTCATCATACCGCAAAACTCCTCGGCTTCCTTGTAGCTTAATTTTCTTTCTTACATCCTTCATCTTTTACTTCACATCCACAACTCTCTCAAGTCTGGCAGGCTCCTTCTCAACCAATCCGAATTTTGAGCACCTGCCTTCGGAAGTCAGTCCTTCCTGCTCTCACTTTCGTCTGGGCCTCTGCCCGCTCTCATATTTAAACCTATCTTTCCCTGGCTTTCTCTGCTTCGACTCTTTCTCACTTCCACACCACACCTCCATACTTCCACACTTCCACACTCTAGTACTTCCACAAATTCACACTGCCAACTATCAGCCTCATTCACTTCATTCACTTCATTCTTCTATCTATCCCGATACAAGCCCAATCATACCAAGCTATAAATTTCATTTCGATCTCCTTTCTATTCAGCTACAACGCCACTCGCGCAGTGCCAGTCCTATGAGACTACCTTCCTACACTCACGCAACCTCCTAACTATCTTTCTCATCATGGCAAATGTACAGGGGACAGTTCTTTCCGGCATTGGTCCGAGAGTCGCGAAGAAAGAAGAGGCTAGGGCGCTGGGTGTATCACAGTTGGAAATCGCCAAGCCTGCCCTTCATGCAGATGCGATTGGAAGGACCCAACAAGGTCTGCAAGAGTGGGTTGCTAGTTTGAGTGAGTATTCCGGGCTTTATCAAGATTCATTTTTCTTCAGGCTTGGCTCACATATTATCAGATCTCCTGAACGAGGCACCAAAGTCCCGAGAGATCCTTGTCGGTGTCATAGGTGAAACTGGTCTGGGGAAGAGCTCCCTCATCAACGCACTTCTCGGGTGCAACATCGTGCCAACCAGCAGCTCAGAAGCCTGCACGGCAGCCGTTTGCATCTTCGGGTGGAATGATGACGTCTCCAATGGCAAGAACTTCCGTGCTCATATCACGTTCAAGTCTTACGAGACAGTCGAAGCAGAACTAGATGCACTCAAGTACGAGTTGAGTGACCTGGAGGAGACCAGCCACACCCAGGGAGAGCACCCAGATCAAGAATACGAAGAACGACGTGCTCAAGCACAACGGCAGATGAGAAATGTCGCCAACTGGTCGAGGCTCAGTCTAGAGGCAATCAGAAAGTCATCTCCAGCACAGATCATTGCGAATTCGTCTGCCTTTGCTGACATTTTTAGAAGCGGACGAGGCGATCGGGCAACGAGTACTTTCAAGCTCGTCAAAGCCGTCAGGAGGAAAGAATTCTTGGCCATGCTGAAGCCCTACGTCTCCAGTTCGAAAGATGTGGCATCGGCCACGAAATATTGGCCTCTAGTTGAGCAAGTGGAAGTTTTCCTGAAAGCTGATATACTCAGACACGGCGTAAAGCTCGTCGATTTGCCAGGTGTGATGGATGCTCTGGAATCCCGCGCCCAAATCGCACGCAGTTATCTCTACCGTCTTGAGAAGAGGATCGTTGTGACACCCGCAACGAGGGCCGCTGACAACAGAGCAGCGGCTGACCTTGTCCTCTCGGAGCGAGAGACTATGTTCTTGGACATGGATAACATGCTCAAGGGTGATTCTCTTTGCGTTGCCATAACCAAGACAGATGACATTGATGACTTGGCCGCGGAGAGCGAGTTTCCTACATCAGAGATACTTACAATCTGCCACGAAATCAATAGACGCGGTGGAGATGACGATGATGAAGAAGCAGAAAGCGGAGACGATACCATCTATGGCAATGCCGTGGATATGAGTTGCTTAGCAGGTGAGAAGCGTCCTCGTGCTGACGACGTACAGGGCCGAAGCGCCGTGAGACAAAGAATGGACAGTGATGGACCAGACTATGATCTGTCCCATCTCAGCACGGGAACACTCAAGTCGCTTCGCAGGCAGAAGTGCATTGTGGAGCGAAATAAGATATTGAAGCAAAGGGTGACGGATAACCTCTTATCCACCAGAAACAAGAACAAGAAGTCGCGCGCGTCAGCATTAGCTGATAATCTGCCTTCAGTCTTCCCTGTCAGCAGCAGAGCTTTTCAGGCTTTGAGGTTGAGAGACAAGACAAGCCACTCTGATGGATTCCCCGACCGACACTCTACTGGCATCCCGGACTTGGAAGACTGGCTACACCAAGTTTCTCTCCCGTACCGGGAAGAGTGGGTAGATGGAGACATTTACCATATGCAGGTCCTCTTTGATGCTGTGGATGGATGGAACCAGAATGACCATCATGCAGCGTATCCAAGACTCTCTAGCGATCAGAAGATCGAATTGGAGAGCAACATGGCCATTCTCTGCAATAACCTGAACGAGGTAAGTTCATAAACGTTTGAGTTTGAGTTTCATGTCAGTGCTAATCTTCTACATACGAAGTCTATGAATTCTAGGGTTCGCACCACAATTCAAAAAAATCTCGCAGCCATGCAGCCATTACGGAAACTCTCTTTGAAGAGGACCCATCTTGCTAGACAATCTAAAGCAAAAGATCAGCCAGAGCTCGAGCGAACCGTCGACCTGTTTAACCGAGCAGTGAAGGGGTGGGAAAAGAAGAATCCCAGAGCAAATGTTGCTGCATCTTCACGACACGAGAAGACCTTTTGGTCTACTTACCGAGCTTGCGTCAGGAGAAATGGTGGTCCTTTCATTCGTCGTGCAAAGACCGGACAGCCAAAGTCTACTATCTTCTGGATTGAGGACGTGTAAGACTCTCCCCAATGTTTATGTCGCCAGGTGATATGTGTTGACAATCCAGCAGGTCTCATGCTTTCTGGCAAGGCCATTTTGATCAATGGGCCTATGAATTCACTCGTCGAATCCCGACATTGAAAGGGAAGATCCGAGGAGCGGGTCTTAGAACCCTTGCTGCATGGCTAAAGGAGCTTGACGACAACGATTCGCTCCCAGACTCGTTCCGAGAGCTGGTGAAGGCTAGCGCCTTCAAGCTGGATCACCTCGTCGAGAAGTATGTGGCAGATGTGCGTGAGCGCGTCACGCAATTCCAGGCATCATCGAGAGCGAAGAGAGAGCCTGTACAGAGGTCTTTGGCGTTGATGATGAAGCCAGGTTTCGAGGCGGCGATCAAGCACACTGGTATGTCACATGACAATGCAACTCTTATTGAAAAGAATCGCGACTGACATTGAAGCAGGCAAGGGGTTGATGGCGAAGCAGATAGAGGACGTAATCAAGCACGCAGACGATGTCGGCTTCACCATGTTCGAGACGGTACGCAACGACTTGGAGAAAGACCTCACAGCAGACATCAGGAAAGTCTCTGCAGACATCTCGCATCTTTGGAAACATCCCCAGCATGGCTGTGGTACGCTCATCAAGGCTGAGCTGAACCGCATTGCGAAGGGTCTTTGCGCGAAGAAGACTAAGACGCAACCTTCGACGAGGATGAGCAATGTAACTCAGCAGACGCTTTCCACCGTCATTGCCACTTGGCGGTCTGAATGGGCCAAAGTCTTCATCTGCCTTCCCGGTGCGCTTCCTCTGGACGACTTCGAAGAAGCGGCGCCCAACGAGGCTGATGAGACTGATGGTACTGTTGAGGAGGAGAGTCAGGTGATAATTAAGAGAGAGGCTCTCGAGGACGTCAAGGAGATGCCCATGCTTTCGGAGGACGAGAAGAAGGCATTGCTCCCAGATGGCATCAAGTCGGAGCCGGCTTGATGAATCGGCATCTGAATGGGGAGTTTGAGAATGAGTTTGGGGGATTTGATTTCACGGGGATTCTGCTTTTTGCCTTTCTGTTTTGCTTCCACTTGCGATGCGGCATCGTCGCATTTTCTATCCTGCTACATGGGAGCATCGAGGCTATACTTCGCCTCATTCTCGCAACGCTATTGAAGCTATTCAGTAGCGGATCTACGGTAGCATAACGGGGGGCACCGAGACTCTCATAGGTCCATCGATCAGAGGCAGCGTTGCTTTTTTACATAGACATAGATATTTTTAAAACCATGAAACTCGCCAAAAGTTTTTGCATCTAAAATGAGTGTAAGAGGCTACGAGCAGGACTTTCTCGCCGCTTACATCCTACCCCCTCCAAAAGCTGCAGCCATACTTGCCAAATAGCCCTTATGTACCAAAGACTCGAACGTCTCAAAAGGCATCGAAGTCGTGCAAATAGGCCCGAGGAAGCTTGAACGCAATACTTATGCTACTCTCATCACGCCCCCTTACTTCACAACCTCTCAAAGCCAACATCAAACCACAAACAGCACTTCCCGAAGCAGAACAGCGAAGGACATTTTCAAGACCTGAAGGCTGTCAACCACAATACCACAACTTTCCAAACCCTCATCATTCCCAATTCTCAGCCCCACCATCGACCCCATCTCTGCCCCTCCATGCATCCGTCCCTGCCCCGCGCCCCGCCCCTCAAAAATCCTCACGAAAACCCTCATCCTCCGCAATAGCCCCTCCCACGCAACAATCAAACAAGAGCCCTCTCCCTCGCCCTCGTCCCCAACCAGAGTCGCTTCAAGCGATTCTCAATCATCCAGCGTCGATGGTTTAGTGGTAAAATTCTCCGTTGCCATCAAGCAGCGTCGGGGAGCCGGGGGTTCGATTCCCCCTCGACGCAATCTTTTGTTTTTGGGGGTGTTTGGGTGCTGGTATATGGTGAATGAGTAGTTTTTAATGAAGGTCAGTACTGGGTCTTGTTTTGGTTCGTTTTGAGTAGTTTAGACGAGGTTGTGGGCTTGATTTTCACGTCTTGAGAGGTATGTTGTATGCTGATTTATCTCGGCAAGCGGGTTGGCTTGCTGAGGAGTTCCAGGTATCGTCTTCGAGATTTCTATGGAATTGATCAGTGAAAAAAACTTTAGATTTAGATGTTGGAGATTCTGTGCGCTGTGTCCGAATTTCCAGGGACTGTATCGTCATTCCAAAGGAACATAGAAGTGCAGCCTAGGATATGCGTTTGGTTGCGAGACGCGGCGGTGTTGAAGGGCGCGCGACTTCATGAAGTACATGGGGTGCAATTGGCACGAGAGACAACTCACACATCACTTGGTCCTGCTTTGTCGAATCTGATGATGGATCAGATTCAATGTACCAAACGAATCAAACAACACGCCTGTGTTTGCCTCCCGTTTCTCCTATGCTGAAACTGCCTTAAGTTGCGGGTCGAGGAAGGGACGTTGATGATAGTAAGACCCCAGGAGGCCAGGGAGGCCGAATAGAATATAACTGAAGAGATACCATTTGCTGTTTGAGTGAAGAAATGTAGAATAAAGTATAGTCGGCGCAAAGGACAGCCGCCTAAGTAGCCATCAAGCGCGGCGAACATCGCGTTCCCGGCGCAACGATGTGATGCGAGCAGCCGGCAAGACAAATCGTGAACTGACAACCCGGGCAACAACACCTTCCGCACCCAAGAACTCCCCTAGATGGAACAACAGTGGCAATGTTACTCGAAGAAACTGAGTCTAGAACTTCTTGTTAGCATCGGACAGGTATTAGGAATTCTCTGCCCAGTACTCTTTTCTGAAGCCAGGTCATCAAAAGGGTACATTAAAAGAAGCCCCCGCGCGTCGCGCGCAACCCGTCTTAAACCCACAGACGTGATCAACAATGTAGATCACCAAACCCAAACCACACCCACGGGTCCCTTCTCACGCGAGGATGTATCTCAAGCCCTTCCCGCCGATCTCACAACCCAAGATGATCAACTTCAGCCCAACTTAAAATCAAGCCCGACCCTCCCGGGACTCCTCTCAGCCCTAGCAGACGCCAAGCTCAACACAAGCTCAGCCTCAAGTTCTCCTCCCCCAGAGATCTCCCCCTCCCATCCCATCTTCATCCTCCCTGCACCAACGATAGCTACATGAATGACATGACACCAACACCGACCTACAAGCCACGTCCACTAACGGCGGAAAGATCCGAGATGGACAAGCCGGATCACCAATCCAAGGGATCTCGCGCGACCAGACACTTGACAGAGGTGGGGAGGACGAGCGGGTGCTAATTGCTGACGTAGTGACCCAGGAATTAGATACCATTAGTCTACTCTACCTACTCTACTCCCAACGCCGTCATCACGGCGACGTAAAAATCAGCAAGACAACATCACATGGACGCTACACGGCGACAGAAGACGTGCGGCTCCGCAGCCATCTCGGACAATCTCGATCACTCGGGAGCCTTATCCGGGAAACTCGACTAGCCCGCCGGACCGAAACGACAAAACTATCCCAAAAGTACGGATACTTTAAATAACCCACCGTTCATACTTTCCCGGCATCCCCAAAAGATAAGCACGGCGATGTAAAGCTTCATTATCTCACTTTACACAACATCGCGCAACAAGGTAGAAAAAAAGCATGGCCGATACGATAATCAAAGAAACTTCATAAACTCCACGATTAATGAAGACGAAAAAGCTTCACCAAGCGCACCAACCACCCCGCAACCTCCTCATCCCACGCGCGCATAACGCCCAACCCGCCCTGACAGTCTCCATACCTCCCTCCATACACACCTTCGCGCAGACACCAAAAAAGATGAGATGAAATAAAGCCACTATCCGCCCACAGGATGGCCCCTGCATCCCATCATCCCCCCCTCCAGCACGTGAAATCGGCAAGTCTTGGCTTCAAAATCAAGCAATTCATTCCGTATCCCAAACGTAAAAAAAAAAAAAATCAAGCCTCTGTGTATCTCCAATTGCGCAATAACGGCGATCCTGGGGCCTTCCTTACCGCAGCATCATGCCGTCATGGCCAGGTGCGAATCGGTGTTGGCCCGTGGGCTCTGTCATGCTGTCTATCTTGTCTGTAGTCAAGCACGCCAAGCAAGCAAACATGGACTCCAACTCTCATCGGAGAAACCCAACAAACAAAGTACCTTCACCTTCATAGATCCAACAAAGGAAAGATAATCTCACGAAAATAACAGCGGGATAACAAGGAAACAACTCAGCCTCCCTATTAGTAGACAAACAAAACAACAACCCACGAAAAAGGCAAGTAGACATGCGACAGAGACGACCACCCAAAAAAAAAAGCGACAAAAGCACATGTCAAGTCAATCTGTCGCGGCAATCACACTTCAAATCTCCAAAGCCCGAATGGCACACCTAGCACCTAGCACCTGCATCAGCACCCCCCCGGCCTAGTCGGGATCTGGGGCCGGACCGTGGCCTTGCTTCATCGCTTGCTCGTTCTTTTCTCCCTCCCATGCGGATACTTATTTGATAATCCATTCTGCGGATTACGGATCTACCAGGACTCGCACGCGCACGCACAGCCAGATTTGAACAGGCCAAGTTTCCATTATTTGTTTGTTTAGTGGAGGCTATCTACCCAAATCTAGACCCACCCTCGTCTCGCGCTTCCCAGCCCTCGACACGGACGAAGCTGTGGTGGGTGTGGAACAGTGGACAGTGTGGGTTCGAGAAAGCGGCCCTGAAAGACTCCCCTGTTCTGGGCCCTATACTACTACTCCGTATGCAGATGCTGACAGCTGGGAGAGATCCATTCAGGGCAAGGGGAGTACTCCGTACACATTGGACGGAAATCCCGGCTTGGCAAAGAAACAAAACGGAAAAAGAGCCATTTCGTCCCCGCAGGACCATCAGCACCGGCAATGTCGGTCTTTGTAACTGTGCTTCGCCGACACATGAGCCATCAGGACTCTCATAACCATGACAGACGACAAGCTTGCCTAGTATTCCAGTGAATCTCTAAAATGCGCGGCATCATCGTTCCGTGTCAAAAGTGGCTCCGATACGGGACACCCGGTGTCGGAAACCCATCAAACCCTCCGCCCGAACCGGCTCCCCTCAGACCTCACAGGCTACAGCCGTCGTCCGGAGGATACCGAAACCGACCTGACAGCCAAGCGGCCAAGAGCCAGGCGAAAAGAAGCACCTGTTGCTGGGCATGCGACTCTCGATTCAGGTGTCGACAGAAACCTACTCCATCCAACTACAGAGCCCATGGCCGGGCTTCCTGCACGGCCATGCAGCTGCATGTCCTCTGGGAGTGGGAACTCCCCTACAGCTGAAATGATGAGGGTGTCGGTGATGGGAATCCGCAAATGGGCGAAAGTGGGAATTCTCTTATCGCGTCATGCTCGCTTGCCCCAGGGCCTCGGAAACGCTCGCGGCTGGCCCCCCCTCCTTCGTCCAACTCGGCTCCGTTCCCGTGCCTGAGAGTTCGTGTAGATCAGCCCGTTCAGGGCACTCGGTTCGGCTGGTTGGTTTCTCATCCCCTCCGTTTCGGTTTGGCGCGCCGCTCATCTCCCCACACTTGCTCCGTCCCTTCATCTCACAGCTTCAACCACGTCCACAACAACCTCCGGGCCATCCTATTCGGGGGGAATCATCATCAATCGTCGTTGTCTTTCTCGCGGAAAATATCCATCGTACTCTTGAACATCGTTTCATCTTTCGTCTTTCCATTCGTCGCTGGACTACTAATCTCCGCCTCTTCTCGCGTCTCATTGGTATCGGGATTTCATCCTCTGCGCCTTTCTCCGTGCGTCAAATGCTATTGTACAGTTGTGTCATTCCGTAAAAACGTCTGCTCGCTGTGTGTTGGAATCGGAAAGCCCCCTCCCAGACGCCGGCCATGACATGTCATCCATGGCGTTATGCCCTGACCCAAAATACTCCGAATAATTATCCAAAAAATCCCCTGCTCTGTGTTTGGCCTCTGAGGTATCATTGATCCCAATCCCGACAAACCGGTGTAATCGCCTTCGTTTGCCTGCTCGAAGGGGCTTTTTTTTCTGCGGCCGTCGCATCGTAGCGTCCTCTTCTCGAATCACTAAATAAGAAAATATTAAGAAAGGTAAGGAATGCCACTTGTCCGTGGCTCGTCTGATGGCGAAGGTCGATACAACATTACGACCATGGTGATGAGTTTCGCCAAAGAAGTTGACACGACGATCAAAGTATCTGCCACGCGGTACTTTGCCCGCTCGACTAAATGAGCGAGAACTTGGATTGCGGCATGTGGCCCAAGGCTGCTGCCAAGGCCGAATGCGAGTCGGGGGCATGCTCTGTGTAATGCATGTCCTCTTCGAAATAGGGCAGCACCTTGATGCCGCAGTGTTGTTGGAAAAATTGAGTCCCAATGTCATATCGCTCCCTGCATCGTCTTTCCCACGGATCGATCTTGAGTGGGCTGTGGTAGCAAAAGGTGTTGTGCTCTGCTCCTCGCACTGGAAAGACGAGGCCGCCATCCTTCATCGCAGTCCATAGTTCCAAGGCCTCCATCCTCGTATTGTCGGCGTTGGGCCAGGCTGCTTGCATGAGCTGAACAACAGCATATCGCAAAGCTAGATCCTCCGCACTGCCCTGTCCGTGACGACCTGCTATTTGCCTTCGTAGTGGCTGGAGTTCGGAGAGCAGTTTCTCGAGTCTCTCGGGGTTGGCGTGGTTGTAAAAGATGGCCAAGTCGATCCACGTCCTGGCTACGTAAGGGTGACGCCGTCCGTAGATGGCTTCAAGTTCTTCGGCGATGGTAGGAATGCAGCCCCAGACAAGCTCCGATAGTGTGATCGGACCATGCTTCTGTTGCACCTCGTATAGTGTAGAAAATGTCTGTCGTAGGGGATGCGAGCGTTCAAAGTTCGTCGATGAATACGCCGCCAGGTACTTGCACAGAGCAGTCATCATGCCCGCGTCGCGATGCACCATTCCCAGCAAAAGTTCCTTGATGCCTTGTGGTGATAGTTGTTTGAGATCCATCTCCAGTCGTTTGAATGCCTTCATTAGTTGATGACCGCCCGCGTCGTGTTCGCCCATTTCGAATTTCTTGTTCGCATCAGCAAACATGTCGCTTGATCCCGCACCCCATAACATAATCGATGTCCATCCGACCTGCTTGTCAATTTCGACCTCGAACTGGCGGCAATGCAAGAATGCTTTCCGCATATTCCCAACAATCGTCTCCTGCGCTCGGAGCAGGTCTGGTGATCGCAGATAGCCCGGAGCGGGCGGCGGTGTCGGGGTACGACATCGCACATATGACGGGAGCTGAGCTGGCGTTTCAAAGTCGACAAGATCGTACTCCGTCACTCCCTTCCTCTTGAGATACGTGCCCAGATTGACCACTCTACCGTTTCGAACGAATTCGGACACTTTGCCCTCGGCATCGCGTTGGAACTTCATAGAAAGAAGTCTCTTCACTTCGTCCTCGGTGTTGTTTTTCACGAAGCCCCACTGAGAGAATCTGGTCTTGTACATCTTCGGCCTACGACAGTGAGATGCGATGAAGGGGCGTGGATCTGGAATGGATACTTACGTTGCTTGGAAGCCATACTGATCCGCCATGATCTGCATGACCTCTTTCAGAGGACGGCGTTCTTCCAGATACAGATGCTTGATGGTCCCCTTGAAAGACTCCCATGCCTCGGCAGGAACCTGCTCCCGAGATGGCCGACTGCCTGTCGCAGGCTTTGGAGTGGGGGCAATACTGGGTGCTCGAGCATGACCCTGCACGATGGTTAGATGGAACACTTTATCAAGCCAAGAAGAAACGTACTGGGAATGATGTCGTAGGCGGAGGGCCAAAGGGCGTTTGCATCACACCCGGGGTGCCGGGCATGAGGCTCGGGGCAGGTGTCGGTGCTGGGCTGAACGTCGACGTTGCCGGGCTGAAGGGTGTGGGAGCAGGACTAAATGCGGTAGTAGGTGGCGGACTGAAGGCGTTGGCATTCGGGGGTGGGCTGAAGGTATTCGTGGTTGGTAGTGAGTTGAAGGCATTTGCAGGGGAGCTAAAAGCGTTGGCAGCACTGAAGGTTGTTGCCGACTGATTGAAGGCATTAGATTGGGAAGCGAAGGGTTTAGAGACTGCGCTGAACGTGTTTGGTTGGGGACTAAAGTTGCTTGCTTGGGTTGCAAAGTGCTTAGTCGTCGTATTGTTGAAGTCATTCGTCGTCGGAAAATTGAAGGCGTTGGCTTGTGACTGAAACCCCTTGTTTGACGTATTGAGGAAAGGATCTAGCTGACTGAAGTCGGCGGTTTGTTGTTGCTGCTGCTGTGCCTGTTGCTGTTGTTGCTGTGCCTGTTGTTGGTGTTGGTGTTGGTGTTGGTGCTGATGTTGCTGTGGTTGATGTTGCTGCTGCTGCGGTTGATACTGCTGAGGCTGATGGTGATGCACCTGAGGAGGAGGCGCGGGGTTCGATGGACCAGCAGCAATAGCCATGCGACTGTTTACATCTCCAAATCGTGAGTCCGGCGTGAACATGGGAATATTAGAGGGTGCGCGATCCAAAACTGGCTTCGTATGTCTGGGCACTGGAGGACGATATGATTCCGGAGCACGGAAGAAAGTGGGCGTGGCCGGGCTGTGAGCGACTGGACTTGTGATTCTACTCATTCCTGAAGAGCTCATGTTTGCTGTGCTGCCGTGCATGCTGCTAAAGTGTGCCGACGATGGGCTCGCTATTGATGGGCTTGCGACTGAACTGGCCGGGCTCATGATCCTATTACTGCTTGGTGGTGCGGCGCGAATCCCCTCAAAGCGCGCAATCAAGTTGGACACTCCGGCAGGGGGACTGAATTCATCGAGTTCCATTCCTTCGTCTTGCTGTGGCGCGCTGTTCATCGAAGACCCAACGTCGAAGCGCGCGTTCTGCTGCGCGACTGGTGAAGTCCAGTCCATAGATGAGTCGAAGTCCCTCCGGACGGAATCTTGCTGCGGCGGTGGACATGTCGAGGGACCGCCAAAGTTGAGCGGAACACCGAACCTAGAATATGCTTGACCAGATGTGTTGAGGGCGAGGCGGCCATGCTGACTGCCTCCGTATTCTGATCCAGAGGGAACACCGCGGGGTGGTTTGTCCCCAGAATGATTGAACATCTCGGCCGCGTCCCGCGTCCCCCGTGGAGCAGAGGTTCGGACCGCTGGCTAGAAAGATGTCAAGACTCGGGACGAGTCAAAGCTCCTCGGTAGGACAGGTGCCTCGTGTCGTCGTCGAATGCGATTCATCCAAGAAGCCCAGCGCGCTGCCCTGGTGGCAAGCATCAATTGCCCGTCAAAATGGAGGGGGTGCCACTGGGCCTTCAAATGAAAGACGAGAGCGTGGGAGGAGACCAGACAAAAGTGCCCATGATCGTCGCCACATAAAAGAGAAGGTCTCGGTCACTCTGGCTGCCAAGTTAAAAATAGAGCGGCAGAGGAGAAAGCGTCATGGCCCAGTATGGGTAACGAGAGGGTTCGAAAAGATTAAAGACTGACTGAAGGGCCCCCCGACAGTTGACACAGGTCGAGGTCAGGACGGGTCAGGAACAGACAGGTCGAGTTAGGATAGGACGGGAAGCCAGAGCTGGAACTGAACGGGCGGAACGACAAGCAATGTTGTCTTGTGCAGTAGAGAGAGATATGGGGGTGAGATGGGGGGGACAATGGACGGGGGAGCCGTTGCTCCAGGCCAGTTCGTCCGTTCAATTTGGGCTGGTAATGGTAAAGTGAGTGGTAGGGCTCCCGCTTCCTCTCTTTCTCCCAGTCTCTCTCTCTCTTTTCCTTCGCGGCCTGTCTGTCTCTTTCGCACTCTCTCTCTCTTGGTCGAGAAAGACGAAGACCACTTTCCGGTGTTGAACTGGCATTGGTCGGCGGTCGCCAAGTTCCTCCGTGTGGTGAAAGCTGCAGGCAAAAGTTCCTTCGCGTAATTTCCTCAACAAGGAAAGCGAGCGTGGCACATGGGTAGAACAAGCCCGTATCCCGTCCCTTCGGGTCTCTCTTTTTCAGTGATAAGAGGGCCTCCCAGCAGCCAGAACCGTAGCTAGGTCCGTGGAGCTGCGCGAAGGGAGGGGGTAAAGAAGCGTTACATAGCCAATGGCTGTTCAGACGGTCTGGCAGTCCGGGCGTCTGCTAAACGAATGGGGAACCATTCACAACGCCTTTTGCTGGTCGGAGCGGGCGCTGGCTACCAATTCGACCGAGAGAAGCAAGACGAGTTGGGGGGAACCCTCGATGGCGGATGGGGGGCCTGCCTTTGCTATCGAAGCTGGGGGCAAGGCGGTTCGTCCTTTGATTGACTCTGTGGGTACATGCGCACTCCCTCTGTCCCTCACGCTCGCCCTACTGCGTGTGTATGTGGGTGTGGGTGTGCCTCTCTCCAGCCTCCGCGCCCAGGAGAGCCCTGGGGTTTCGTCCAATGTGCCCGACATGTCGACATTGATACCATGAGCCTGTGCGAAAGTTGTCGACGGGTAGGCGACCAATTCCAATTTCCAGGGTGGCCAGGAGGCGGGGAATAGGCACAATGGTGCCACCACTGTTCTAGATTAAGAAGGTGAAAGAGCGTCCTGGTCGGCCTAAAAGACGCCAGCGACCGAGTCCTGACTCAGACCACCAATCATCGTGCCTGTCTGTAGGTATCCTATCAACTAGGCCCTCCCCCTTTTCGGAAAGGCCGTGGTGAGAGAGCCAGAGAGACTAAGAGACAGCGTCGCGAACTGTCACCAACCAAGCATCAGGTTCCAACCGGGGAGCCCTCCGACATCTCCCTCGGCCCAGGTCTACATCGCAGATGAGATTCAAAGAGCGCCGCCGTCCGCCGTCAACCATCATGGAGGATGGACGGCTTGCTGCTCGCTTTTGGCCCTCCCCTCGTTAGCCAAGCAACCAAGCCATCGGCCTGGGAGGGAAAAGCTGGGGGAGCTGCCGCAGGCAGTGGACTAACGCCGTAGAAGCATGCTGCATGTTCCAACGGCCTTCCACCAAGCCAACCTGGCACTCCTGGTTCCATCCGATAAGCCATTTGGTGAGCACGGCCAATGGTCAAGGTACTGTCAGAGACACACCCGAACAGCGCCGCTCCAAACTAACCCGTCTGGTCGTTAAAAGGTCGCGATCGCAGGTTTTCCATTTCAGCTACCTTCAAGGGGCGGGCGGCGGGACTGGGCCAAGGAACGGACTGGGGGCGAGTTTCCGCGGAATGGCCGCAAGACAAAGCAGATCTCTGTCTAAGGACGCCACGATTCAGACTCGAGTGCCATCTTTTAATTGGAAATTGCCATGGCATTGGGCGGCTCCTGTGGGCACTGCCGAGCGGCGGTCAACATGCTTTCGGCCGGTTGCACCGCAGGCTCGTCCGTGCTGTCCTGTCAAAGCCGAGGCGTGGCTAGTGGCTGACTTTGGTGGCTGCTCTCATTCTCGTCCATCATGGGGCATAGCGTTAGGCGTCTTCAGCCTCTTTGCAGACCACAGGAAATCCGCTGAAAGCAGCGAGAAAAGTGCGGCGTAACAAATGGTAAGTGGACGGTGAGTGGGTGACAAGCCCCGAGATATGAACCGCGAGTTGCGAGATGCCGAAAACATTTTCCAACGGAGGAAGAGATAATAGGTACCGGCTAATGTTCTCGAATTTTCGACCCCAATATCCGCGGAGCCAAGGAGATCCCTGCAGTGCGTCTCACTAGCACGAACAGCCGGCGACGGGCTCCTTGCTGACCTAAAATGAAGGTGATCTGACATGAAATGTCAGTCAATACGCACTAAGTAGCAGTTTGTTGTCCGAGCTGCGGCTTTGAGACTACAGCGGACCTGGGCTAGCCAGAGGTGGTCTTTAGCATAACGCTCATCGGGCAGCTCATAAGAGAGAAAGTCGTCAAGAGCTGACGCTAAGCGGCATGCTCCCTCTTTACGTGGGTCCCGACGGCAAGGCGAACAGACGCCGACGGGTCCACACATGAGAACACTCCATCAAGTAGGCCCGAGGAGTCGGCAATGTTAATGTAAAGTGACGCGAGCCAAAGCACGACTTCTGGACTCCAAAGTCGTGCTTAAAGTCGTGCTCCAGCAAAGATCTACCCTGGAATTGTTGATGGCTGGGTCCATGGCCCGGGGCACGCGAGCCGAGTGGCTCTGAGGGTTCGTGATCGCCATTGGAGTCATCCACTCCTCGGAAGAGGCCGATTGTTTTTTTTTTTTTCAACAAGCATAGACATCAGGTTGGGACGCGGTTGTAGTATCTGGATGGGACAATAAAGATGTTGCCTTAGCTGTCGATGACGCGCTTCGGATCGATTCGAATGCGCATGTTAGGATGTGGGTGTGGCAGCCATCAGGCGACGAGACAGCTTTTTGGGTTATCTTTCGGTGTCATCGAATCAGCTCAGCTCACACTGCGGGCTAGTAGGCTGCTGAGTGACAGACCTGCTGTGCCATGATAAGTCGGGGTATTTGGAAATGCGAACCTTTTTTCCAAATACTTGGGTCCTGGTCGTTTGGTTGATAAGGAGCTACAAAGTTCCACCATGTTTGCTTTGGGAAGGTCGAACAGGGTACTTCGGTCAGGTATCCGTAGCTGTTGGTTCTCAAAACCTATGCTAACCGATCGGGCAGTCTCTTTCTGCTGTGCACTCCTCACTCACCGAGATTGCCGGTAATATCGACGTAAGTTGATGCGGCATTTCATCTAGCTCGAGAAGGGTTGTTCGCAGCGGCGACGAGCCTGGAGATAACTCTAAAACTTGGCGTCTAGGTCGGTACGAGAAGAACAGGCTTTCTTGGACGAGTAAGCCGAGCCGCAGGGCGGGTGTAAGCAGTCAATAGAAGGACGCGAGACGGCACGATGCAAAGCAACCCCAAGCTTACTCCGCGCCAACGAACCACGAGAGCATCCGTGTTTGCATGGACCTCAAAGGTGCTGTAGGCGAAGTCTTTATGTGGATTCCATTGTGATTGTCGATCTTGTCCATCTGCTGCAGCTGAAGCATGGGATCTGGGGTCTTGGTCAGCTCATAGCTTAGTGATACTTTCTAGTCGACGCAGACGCCTAATGCATGGTATTGCTAGTCCAATGTATCGAAAGAGGAGCAACGTGATGTTGGTGTCAGTTGACACAGATAAGAACAGGGCAAAGCACTTGACCTTACCTGATATCCCAGAAATGTCAAGATGTTCAGCGAGGCAGCGGTGTATCCTAGGTCGAGGCATCAAGATCTGCAGAGTACAACTTCTTCTGTTGCTATTCAGGCTTGGTCAAGCCAAGCTTTGTTACGGCTGAGATCATCGTCTACTCTCCTGATGACGCTGGGTGATGTGGACAAGAATCTTGCGTCGTCTGCAAATCTCTATACCAAAACAGAATGACTGTTGTCTAGGGACGAACGATATGCCTTGTTGTAGTCAACAGTGGCAAGCAGTCATTGGTCCGGGAGAGCCTCGATGACTCCAGATTGGGTTCATTGCTCCGCGATTGCGTGGCACGCGTGGCTATTGACGAACGAGAGGCCGTGAGAGGCATTCGAAACGTCGTCTGGCGGCACATGGTAAGCGCAGGGTCAAAAGTTCCGGGGATAGGCGTTTGGGGTCTTGTTATCGTGCAAATGGTCAGCACATCGGTTACTTTGCAAACCAACGCCAGGCATGTCAGGCGGAAGGACGCCGGGAAGAGGCGAGGATAACAAGGCGTGGGGGTCGGCGTGTCGTTGACAAAGAGACTGAAGTTGGATCATGGATGAAGCTCAACAAGGTAGGGGTCAGGACTCAGGAGGGTGGAGGGCTGACGATGGATGGATCCTGAATGGCGACGAGGACGTCGAAAGAATGAAACCTGAGGTGAAAACTGAGAAGAAGGCAGGTAGCCTTCGATGGCGTTCCATGATTGCTCTTGAGATGGAAGGAGCAACGAGACATATGTTCCGGGGAAGGTACCCTGCCTCCACAAGGGAATGGCGGAAAGAGGAAGGAAGTAATGGCAAGTGGATATACCTGTAGCTCCCTTCAATGTGCTCCTGCCCATGTATTCGTGATAGATCAGCCCTTGGCATCATGGCATGTACTTTGCTTCACTTCGTGTCTTCGGTAGTCCATATTCGCTCTGAGACATCATCTGTTATCATTTGTAGACG